GTGAAGATGTGGTCTCTGGTGACCTTGGTAAACATCTAACAGGCTCTCTCCACTCCATCTGTAAATGTTTGGCCTGATGCGAAGGAGCAGTTGGATGGAGATCCTTGGAGGGACTGCAAAACATTCCACAGCCGTTTGGCATTGAATTTTCCATGAAACTGAAGCCCTTCAATGTCTTCCGTTCAACAAAATTACACTTTTGCTCTGAAAAACCTTTCTCCGTTGTTCGGCAATAATGATACAACAAACTTTTTTTTTACAAGAGATGAGGGCATATGTAAATACTTAGATGGAGCACGGTGGATATAGACGTGGCGTAATTCCATTAGGTAAACTCTGGGAGGGTGGATGTTTCTGGAGCAGCTCTGATGAGCTGCAGGCCTCAAATGTGCGACTTAGGCCACATCATTATTTTTGCTGATTGCTTTGAAGTGAAGTGTGCAAATCACTTTTGGATGATCCTGCATTTTTTGTTCTGTTCAGCTACTCTTGTACCTTCACAACTGCTTGAGTCTTCTTTTCTAAAGGACGCCAAGCCTTTGGTTTATTTGAACTTTTAAGGGATTGTGATGTTATTTGCTTTGGCCTGTTACAAAGAGGCATTAGTTTAAAACATGACAAAACTTGTTAGCTTAAATATTCTTACCTTATACTTCCATTTTGCTTCAGTCTTGTTTTTATTCTGCTCTCTGATTTCAAACTTCTCCACGTTGTTCTGCTTTGATATTTCCTTCTCTGACATACTCAGGACATTCTTAACAGCCTGTAATATCGACACATTTGAACAAAGACAGTTATTGACGAACAAACATTAATCTCATTGAACAGTAACTGTGGGTTGCTTTTGCCATCCTGCATGTATGGTTAAAACTGACAAGCAGGGATGCAAAATGGCTCAAATAATGTGAAAACTAAGGAGATAATCATTCCACAAAATAATAACAATTAGCATCCGCTCACCTTCGTCTTTTTTGGCTGATCCATTTTACTCAAGATGTCTTTTGCATGGGACTCAAGAGCTGCGAAACTGGAGGGTTTAGGAGGTGGCGACGACTCTTTCGCCTTCTTCGCTTTCTTCTTTCCTCCTTCCTTGACCTTCGGCACCTTCGGAGGCTTGGGGGCCTTGGGCATCTTTGGGGGTTTGGGAGGCTTGGGAGGTTTCGGGGGTTTGGAAGCTTTCTTTCTGGCCTTCTCTCTGCTGGGCGAGGGGACGTGGGCCGGGGAAACGGGCTCTTCAGGCTCAGAGTGGGTGGATGGTGGTTCCTCCACAGGTACCTTAATGCTGGGCTCACTCTTAATGGCTTTTGTTGCATTCTAGGAATAAAAGCAGGAAATTGTAAAGTGAGCTATAGTTTTTTAAGTGGCAATTACACCCTGCCAAACAATTAAAGCCCCACTGAACTAGGGCTGAAGTGATTAGTTAATTGATCAATTTGTAGATTCAATGATAATTTGGATAAATAAATAAGACATTATTTATGTATTTAGTAAAAAAGTACCAAACTTTTGCTGATTCTATCTATATTACAAAGTCTGACACCTTAGTTTCCGTTATTTTCACGATTTAAAGGACCAGTGTGTAGGAATTAGGGAGCTCCCTAAGTGGTGAAGTTGCAGATGGTGCAACAGAAAAACTGATTTTGAAATTTTGAAAGGCACGTATCTAGAGCCATTTTTTGGGTTGTTCCGCCTCAGGGGCGTACTGGTAAAAACAGTTGCGAGAGCTCAACATAGCAGTATCCTGTAGAAAGAGGACCCACTCCCTCTGTAAAATAAAAACAGTTCATTCTAAAGGTAACAGAAAACCAGCAACGATTTTATTTTGCAGGTTAATAATACCACTAATGAAAACATACCAATGAATATGAGTTCCCACAAAGTTTTACACACTGGACCTTTTAAGTAAAAAACCTCAAACATTTTGCTGATCTTGATGATTTGTTGAAGGCATCGCACGACGCACCAGATCTGGTACCTTGGTGATTTGCCATTTGTCTATATTGTTGAGATTTGGTAGAATCAATTTGCATGCGTGGAAAATCGTGTGTTGGACGATGCCAAGTGTTGTTTGTTTTGTGAATTTCCTTGTGTCCTCCAAAACAGGATAAGTGATTTGAGATAATATACAGAAAATCTGAGTAGCCGCGATTTCACAAACATCACCGATATTGATGTGAAAATCGATACCCGGCAGTCCTTCTTACTGCAACTTAAAACTACCTTTGATGAGAGATGGGTTGATTGTATCCATGTTTTATGCGCAAAAATAAAATAAAGAGTACCTTCTGACAAGCGTGATCTCTTTGGCAAGATCCTTAATGAGGCTGAGAATGGTTTCATGTTCTCCAGGAAGCTCATGCGTTGCATGATGCCAAGAGGGCCTGTTAAGGAGGAAAACATACAAGTCTGTCCATTGCTTTTCACCCAATACTCTTAGATGGGACAACTGACGACAAGTGTATCCTGATGTGTCCATACCTGCTTTTTAGTCCAAGCTCTGAAGGGCTCCATTGATGATTTGGCCACCATGATATCAGGTATGGGGGGGCCTGGTTGCTTATTTGTGTTATGTAGAACCTGCAGAAAGAGAAATGGCAGAATGTTTGCCATTTAATGAAGGCAAAAATTGGGAGAAGTCAAGGCCGTTAGCTTAAAAAATCCTGGAACACATTAGCAATATTGTCTGACCAATCATTAACCTTCTGGGGGGCCACGGTCAATGCTGTTGAATTAATGTGACACATTTAAGCTAATCTGCCTACAAATACATTTTATTAAAAAGCAAGATTTCTCACTCGACAATAGTAGATCGGTTCTGGAGGTTGTATTTCAACGCCATTGCGTTCCGGCCTCTTTTGCTCCTCTATGCATGAACCGTTTGACCCCTGACCCAAAGCCTGATCAAACGTGATTTGGTCAATACCTACTCAGACTATAAATGGAAACCGGACACTTCCTCTGCCAAAAAACCTTTGCTACAGATTCCTGCATTCCATGATGCAGGTATCAGTTCATAGAGTTAGACTAGAGCGAACCTATTCAGTGGCAGCAAGAGGTTTACAGGATGTAACTGAATAAAAGCCTCTCACAAACCACAAGAACAGATGAGCACGTGACACCAGTCCTGTAATGTTCTGAAGAGATCACCACGTGAAGTTAATTCACTCCATCAGTGAACAGTGAAGAGGCAGCTCCCCTGTCAACAGGGGTGACGTGTGTTTTAGGTAAACTGTCCTGTTACCAAATTTACCAGAGCCTTAGCCCCAAACTCAGTCCCCAGTGCTGTGTGTAAAAGTGCAATTGACAGTATATATAATGGACAAAGCTTCCTGGTCTGTTAAGTGAGGTCAATGCATTCTATGTATGGCCCAAACCAGGGGGAGTGGCCATTGGCCTGCAAAAAAACAAAAACAAAACAAGACCATGCAGTCCTTATGGAGAAAATAAGCCTGACCTTCTGACCTTGATTTATTAGGCTCAGTAAAAAGCAGTTTCTAAAGAGTTCAATGGTCCTCCAATCGTTGTAGTTTCAGTCTTCCTTCCAATACAGCAACGATGTTCAATTTAGTAAATGAAATGGTGCGCCATTTTAAACAAAGTAAAATTAGAAAAGGCCTACCTTGGTTGATTGACAATGTCATTTCTCAGTGGAGTTCTGTTCCAGCTCCAAACGCACTTAAACTCAGATCAAACTTGTTCAAAACTAGGCAAGTGTCTGATTCAGAATATGGAAAATTCCAGATTCTGTTACTTTGGTTGCTAAACTTATCTTTCTCCAACTAAAAATGGTGGAAGAACCCAATAGCGCGCCAATACGGTTAAAAGTTTCCCACAAACCAATGGGTGACATCACAATAGGTTAAAGTTCTCAAGGTATACAGTCAACATCTCTCTCCTCACTCACTCTGAATCACTGTGCATCAGCTCAATCTCTCAATGTCAAATGTAACTACTGTGTGTGCAGTATGTGGCTGGATTCATGGTGATTTTAACAAAAAGTAAAAAAAAATTGTCAGCTGTTCACAGTACAATGAAATAAAGCTGAGGCAAGGAGTCTCATGACTTGGACTCGAGTCAAAAATGTGATGACTTTGGACTAGGACTTGCACTTCAATCGATATGATAACCGATAATTACCTGCTTCCGTGGGCAGATACCGACAAGAAAACTGATAATTTCACATTTTTGTAGTATATAGTATATGCACACCTGAGGGTAAAACAGGCTAACAAAATCTCCCACTATTGTTTACACCACAACAAACAACAGTTCTGACTCTTCAATCCTTCTATTTTTTCGCGTAAAGTTCATAAAAAAAACTTCACAAACATATCTTACTTTGGCTTTCATATGTTTTGCATAGGAAATCAAAATAAATTATTATTAATGCCAACTGATAATTTAATATAATTATCTGATAATTTGTAATAATATACTTATATACCCTTATCATTTATCTGGCCCGATAATTATTGTGCATCAATACTTTAGACTTGACAGAGTAAAAAAAACGTGGCACTTTACGTGGACTTAAATGACTTCACTCGGACTTGAGCCCTTTGATTTAGAAAATACTTTCCGAGCCCAAAGATTAAACATTATGTTATTTAAAAAGTGTGACTTGAATCAATTCATTTTCCTTTATTTCCTGAATCGACTAAAACACCCAGGCAGGACAAAAACATTCAAACTTCCTTCTGTTGTGCTACTGGTGAATAGTGTTATATGCTAGGGAGAGCCTTGGTAGCCAAATGGTTACAGTTCCCATGTGCACTTGCATGATCTTTATTTCACATCTATAATAAGATATAATACATCTATTTATAAGCTTTGAGATGCTCTTTTGTCACACATCTTCCTTGAGCATTTAGTTGACAAGTCAGCAAAAACATTAGAAAACATGATTTTTAGTTTAAAAGTTAAGTTGGCAAACTATAATAGATATATAACAATATAATATAATATATATGTATATGTATATATATATGTATGTATTGAGGAGATTATAATGTTGTCCCTCATGCATAGAGATACACAGTCTGTTGATATATAGAATAAACCAAAATTAGAAACTTGTTGTCTCCTAAAGAATAGCTACAGTGTAGAACCTTACATGAAGACTAATTCAACAAAAGACTGTGCACAGTTGCGTTCAGGAACGTTACCAGTAGCGGTAGAGACTGGAAGGTCGAATGCCACTGCAGAGGAGGACAGGCTGTGCTTGTTGTCTATTCTAGGTGAAACTGAGAGCGAGGTGTACGTTTTGTTTTGCAGTACTGTCTATGAGGACATAAGGGCTGTACTTCTTAGTAAAATGTCCTCCATTTATGATCATTTCTTTTGTCTTGATGAATATGGAGAACTAGTTTAAGAGCGAGCCGTATAATAATCTATAATCTGTCATTTTGTAATGAGCTGAAATGTTTGATCACTGCAGCTGTATTTTTGGCCCTTATAAACCTGTGAGGGTTGGGCACTTTGTGTGCACGACACGAAAATCCAATTAATCAAATCAAAATATATCAGCCAATAAATACTTCTTCAACATAAATACATAACAAAGATATTGGATATGGATAAGATTTTTTAAGAATTGTGATCAAGATATGTACTGAGCAGGTCCTTACAGTTGAAAAATAAACAGTCAGCGCTCTCTGTTGGACAAACTATGTAATGGTGTTTCTACACTACCTCAAATGTATATATAAATGTAAATCTTCTTCTACTAAAATTGTTTATTTGTAGCCAGCATATTTGCTGATACAGATATAGTATCTGCGATAAGCTCGACCGGGCTCTATTGCAAACTCACTGATATGATCCTTTAAAACACTGGTTCCCAACCTTTTTCCTTCAGAGGGCCCATTTCTATCACAGAGTAAAGTGACTCAGTGACATATTTTATGGATATTTCATATTATATTCAATGCATAACAATAACAGTGGAGAACAGCTGATAAACTGTCAACAGTGAACACTAACTGCAGGAAGTTTGTATAAAATGAGTGATTTGGAAGAATTTCAAGCAGATTATTTCCTGTGAATATTACATCAGAGATGACAACTTTAGAGAACTCTGTCTGTATTATTATTAATATGAATTCTGTGTTTTATTCTCATTGTTCCATTAGCTCTTAGTTTGAACTTTTCTAATGCAGGATGATGCTGTACATGCGTGAAGGTTCTTTGAATACATCTCGTGTTCAGGTCTTTACCATTTTTTTTTTTTTTGGCGGCCTGGCTATTGGAACGTTCCTGTTCACATTTTTATTTTTATTTTGTTCAAATGTTGAACAAAATGTTGAGATTAAGGCCTACAGTAGTTTTCTTTTTTAAGATTTCTTTACACTCCTTTGCTTTGGTGACCTCTTGCGCGGGTTGGGACCCCTAGGTTGGCAAACCAAAAACAGTCCTTTACTCTCAGTGACGCCGTTGCAGATTATACCTCTCAGTGACACGCTTAACTTTAATTTTAGGTCAAACTTTTGGCAAAGACTCACCATTCTACATTAAACTACAACGGCTACAGCCCTGATTTATGACAAATTATGCAAATTCAGCTTTAATGTGGATTTCCTCTTTAATTTGAGTATAATGGCTGAAAAGCAGCGTCCGAATATTTAAGTATCCCTATCAACTGAAGTGGATTTACAACCAAAACAGGAAATTATTAATAACATCAAGGCAAAATACCAGCAGCAGTGAAGTGAGTCTTTTTCCTGCACTGAAAGAGCTGACCTTGAAGTTAAAAAGAATAATGGCGTATTAATGGTAAGGCCTTGTGGGTTAGAAGTAGTGCGCGCCACACACAATATGCACACATGCACAGAAAATGGTGGAAACATAAACAATTGGCCCAAGCCAGCTGAGGGGAGTTTAAACACAGGCTTGTAATGGAGCAAGTGATTCTAGCTGGGCCAAACCTTTTGAAGCTAATCATCTGTGAACTCGGCGATTCACCGATTTAATGACTGAAATAATATTAGAGCATCCAGCTCCTCATCTGTGCAGCAGACACGCAGCCATACGCCGATTGTGCAGCTCGGAAAAAAGGCCTTTCTGACACTGTTTGTGTTTTCTCCGCTTTCATGCGTTCTTCTGGAGAAATGGCGAGTTAAATGAGGATGTAAGTTTACATTAAAATACCACATATTAGAGCAAAAATGAAACCTATAAATACATCAGACTGATTTAAGAGTTTACCTTTGAATCGCTCGAGGAGATGTCGTCCCACGTACCAGCACGCCGTCTCAAAGTTCAAGAAGGGGGTGAGAGTTTTGACATTTAGCCGCTTCTCGATTTCATACGCTCTGAGGGGAATAAACCAAGATGTTTCAGCTAAACATCGTCATGCATTACCAACGGGTTTATTGCAACAAACTATGCAATTCACAAGGTATTTCCAAATGTGGGGAATTCATAAACAGATTGGTGGAATTTGGAGCTGAAAACAAGTCCAAAATGAGGATCCAGTGGAAAGTGCTGTGTGAGATCAGCCAAGTCACACTAAATCCCCCCAAATTAGGACATGACTGTCTGCTGGAGGCATGGCGGGTCACAGCAATTAAACAAAAAAAAAAGGCAAATTAGCAAAAACAACGAGGACAAGGCAGCTTAAAGGCTGAACATGTGTGTGTGTGTGTGTGTGTGTGATAAGTCAGGTGTCCCAACCTCATCTGCATCTCCACGCTCAGGTTGTGGACAAAGTGTCCGGAGAACGCCAGGCAGTCGACCGGAGTCAGTATTGCATTGATCCAACCTGAGGTAAACAGAACCCAGTGGTTGTAAATAATAAATACATTCATTCATTCAATATTTCTAATGAAAGATCACAGAAAAATCTTCATTATTACTTGTTGCAATTTACTATTTGGTGGTATTTACACTTATTATTACTACCATTATTTAAGATTGCTGAATTGATTAAGTGTTCTCCACATGGGACAAACACCTGACAACAACCAGGACCAGTACGAACATGTAATGATCATGAGCTACAGTAGCAGACAGCGATTTGAAGCAGTTAAACGATATCATTCTGTCTTTCCCTGGCTGTACTGGACTCTGTACTTTTTAAAATAGGATCATTAACCAGGGTTCCTACTCTTTTTAGGTTTCTTTAGGTTCATGAGAAAGTGTCTCAGGTACAGAATAAAAGAAAGAAATCCACAGGCTATCGGAGGCAGAGGTCTGAGCGGGGAGAAGATTTTTTTAAGGGCTCATTTTAATCAATTTCCAGGTTCTCCAGGATGCCTGGGAATCCCAGATCAACGTAGTGTAGCACTTTTATTTGCCTGGTATTTAATTTTAGCCAAGTCCAGAAAAATACATACATACAACATATTATATAAAATGACTTGTAATATGATTACGATTATTTTATCCATATCTCCCTCCCCTAATCAGAGTAAATCAGCTAATTCTTTCAGAACTAAACATTATATAAAATGTCATTTTATACACATTTGGTGTCTTCGGAATCTCCACTTGAATTAACATGAGGGTTTTGTAGGTCTGTTATCACAGCTACATGTTGCAGAGGTTTCATTTTTCAACATTTGCAACACTGCTGCCCCTGTAGCAACGCTGTAATGGCAAGATTTTCTCTCCCAAACCAAACAGTATAATGTATATGGCTGTGTTCTTCTAAATCATGTTCAGCTATATTCCTGTGCAGCTCTGACCTGATGGGATGAAAAGAGTCTGCCCTTGCTTCAGAGTACATTTGTAACACTTGTCCACCTGGTCGGCAAAGAACATTTCGCTGTGGTTGGACGATGATCTCCAGCGCTCGTACAGAGACAGGTTTGCAGAGGTGGGCTTGATGAGGAAGAAGATCTTTTCTCCCTGCGAACACAAACATGGAGTTTGTTGTATTCCTCTTGAAGGCTACTTATAGAATAAATTCAGAATAAAAGAAAATCTGTGGGAAATTTCTCATCATATCACAGGCTGAGGATGATGACACTGACTGGCTAATATCTATTTTTGTTACAAGGCCAATTCTGTGACAGACCTTTAAGACGTGGTACCAGACGGAGGCGCCACCGCACTCAATGTGGAAGTCTGTGTAGCTGTCTTTGACACAGATGAGACAGTATTTGGTGACTTTTGGCTTCCCGAGCAGCGCATCATCAGGCCAGTAGTTCTCTACCCAAGACAACCGCCGCACAATCTGTGGACTCTCCACTATACTGTTCATCCTGGCCCAGAAAAACAGAAACAAAAATTAGTAGCAGCAGTTTTCCACACTGGCACTTTCGTAAGCCAGATCTCACTTTCGAAACCCAGTGTGTGTGAGACACAGCACGTGTACCTTGTGTCAGAGAACTCCAGGTTGATGACGTTTAACACTTTCTTCCTGTTTGTGCTGTAGTAATAATCAACAAACTCTTTGAGCTTCATCTTGCTGTCGGTCTGTTTGGTGACGTCGACGACGTCCACGCCGACGTCGGGACCTGAGACAATAACAGAGGACACAGGAGACGAGGTAAAACAAGCTGGAGAAAAACTAACCGCCTACAAGCTAAACATTTTCTTTAAACAGAAAACTGGTTTACAAAATATGTCTGTAGCAGTATACTGTTGATATGTAAGAAGTGATCTCATCACTGAGCACCAGTGCACAGGGAAAATGAAGAACACATGCGCCCCCTATTGGAAAGTAGAGTGCATTTTTTATTTTATGATTCTTTTAAGGGGGAAATAAACTTATTAAAATATTACAGTATAAATAAATTGGATAACCGTCACTTTAATAAAGACTCTCAGGATATGTTATGTCTTTATTTAATGTTACCTTTTCTATTGCTCATGCTCTTATTTTGAAGTACTGCCCAAAACAGCTTTGATCTGCTTTATAAATGAAGACATTCTTGGATATTATAGTAGTACAGTAGCATTAGAAGTTGTGTATTTATATAGCAGTAATAATTTCACTAGTGTAGCAGTAGAGTAAAGTAGTAGTAATATTAGTGTTGATCAGTACAGTAATGGTTGTGGTAACAGTAGCAACTGTAGTTGCAGTAGTAATGCAATAGATATAGTTATAGCAGTAATAGTAACAGCACTAGCAGTAGCCACAGCAGAAGTAGGGGTAGTGGTTGTACAAATAATTACAGCTTTAACAGTAGTACCAGCAGGACAACAGTATTCATAGTATTTGTGGTAGCTATAGTATTAGTTAAAGCAGTACTACAGTAGGTCACTAGTACACTACACTACTCTAAATAGTGGTTAGAGTAGTGACAGTAATAGCAGTAGTAGTATTAGTCACAGCAGTAGTATGGGTATCAGCAGCAGTGGAGATGTCAGAGCCTTACAGCAATAGTTGCTATAGTAGGAGCTGTAGTACAAGTCTCAAGTACAGTTGCAGTGGCAGTAAGAACAGTGCTAGTGTGGTAGTAATAATACAAGTAACAGCAGCAGTAGTGCCGTTACAGTGACTGAGCTCCTCACCGACGTAGTTCTCCACATCACTGATGTAGAAGGTGGGGGCCGGCATGGACAGGCCTAGGCCGTCTTTCTTCTGAGCCAGGATTGGCTCGTTGAAGCCGTTCTCCTCCAGGTAATCCATGGTCAGCTGACTGCCGCTGAGCTTCACCACCACATCGTCAGCACTGGAGCACACACACAGCCAGAGGGAGGGAAGGAGCCATGTGTGAAACGTGTTGAAGCAATTCAATGGAAGCAACTGAATAAGATCTGATAGCTGTACAAACAGCATGTGCAAAGACAAATCTATCCATAGACAGCACATATTGAAAAGTTATAAGACAGTGCCCCCTAGTGGGATCATTTATAAAGTAAGGATATCAATATTGACCAGAAAAGTCCTAAATGACATTTCTAGAGCCCTGATCAATATGAGGAATTATTTAATTTCATTAGAATTGAATTCATTAAATGTGATCCCAATTAGAGTGTTAAGTCTGACTATTTCAAATATATAGAAGGTTTAATTGTCGCCACTTAATCTCACATTATTATGTATTGGTGGTGTTGACAGTTGAACAGTTCACTAATGAGAACAAATGTCTTTACCTGGGAAACGTCCTGCTGCGAAGCTCCTTTATGAAAACCTGACTGCCGTTCTGAACAGCTTTGATGTCTGTGCTTTGCCCCGTGTCATGTTTGCTCCAGTTCTTTTTCTTTTTCACTGAAGAAACAAAACATAAAAAAACACTTAACATCAAGAATTTAGAAAATGACTTGAGCAAATAATTGAGTTCCACATTCACATATACAATCTTGTTTTCCTTAAAAAACTGTTTCCAACAAGGTTTGATCTGTTTTGAGACTTTTATACCGCGTGACAGAAAGTTGGCAAGAAGTGAAAGCTGAGAAGAAGTGAAATTATCACAGCAGTTGTTTCGCTTTTTCTTTTTTGTCAGCAGCAGCCAACACGACTCTCCCTGAGGGGGAGGGGGGGGGATACTTACATGTGGATTTGCCGTGGGTCTTCTCGCAGTTTGGACAGTGATATATGTCAATATCTGGAGCGTCATCTTCATCCACCCCAACACAGCTGAAACAACACAAGAAACACATATTAATGTTTAGGAATGTGACCTTTTACCAAAGCATGTCCAGGTTCGTTTTGAATGTGTTTCCCTGCCACGGTTCATTTGCCTAAAAGACACTTTGAAACTTGGTCTAGTTTCATAACGAATCACTGTGACACCATGTATGCTTTTATTTTGGTCAAAGTTACAAATTTTCACTGCATTGACAGCGGAGCTGCAAATAATGATTATTTCATAATAGATTAATCTGACAATTATTTTCTCAATTCATCATTTGGTAAATGAAAGAATAAAAAAATAGTAAAAAAGTGAGTCCCATTCAAATATATTCTTCCTGATACTGACAGTATTTTTTAGCACTAATCCTTTCAGCTGTATTGGTTCTACAATTCAACCACAAATACAAAACATCATTGCCTTTCTTCTTCTTGTGTCTTTTTAAGTTACAGTTGACATTTTACTGCAGTTAAAGCTGCAGTAGGTAACTTTTATAAAAGTAACTTTTTGTCATATTTTCTGAAACTTTCACTATATCCTGACAGTAGTACTCAGCAATTGCTATCTTTCTCTGCTCTGATTGGTTGTTTTTGTTCAGGCCCAGTGGATTCTTGCAAATTCCATTAGGAGCAGTAGGAGGAGTCAGAGGAACCTGATTGTTTCACAGATTATCTGTTCTACTGTCAGGATATAGTGAAAGTTTCAGCAATAATGACAAAAAGATATTGTCATAAAAGTGACCTACTGCAGCTTTAATGATAATGGTGATGACGACACTGAATATATAATGTGGTTTATTCCACTGATATTTAAATTATTTAAACTTTTTAATGTGTAATTATTTTACGAATTATGCATTTTTTTTTTTTTTTTTAATTAACATTATTTTTTAATTCTCATGTACCCCTTGCAGTACTCAACAGAGGGGTATTGGTACCACATTTTAAAAACACTTATATAAAACACAGAAAAACAGCAAATCCTCACATTTGAGAGGCTGCAACCAGAGAATGTTCATCAACAATACCTTTTTCACAGCAGCCATTTTGACATGAAATAAATGGAACAAAGCCTTAATTAGTATCACTGGTAACACCTGTGTTTACCCTACTTCAAGACAAAATGGCTGTTGTGAAAATTTGTCTAAAATGACCAAAAAGTAAAGGATAGTATCTATACACATTTATGTTTGCACAGTGGTGACATGAACAGAAACCAGTAGCTGTTAGGAAGAAAAACAACACATTTCATTTGTAGTAAAATTAATATGAGCCATGTAAAACATTGGAACAGGCCTTTAAAATGATTCACAGTCCACAGCGGAAGGGCATCAGGCCCTAATATACCGGACAAAGGGACAGGACAGAGGAGGACAGCACAATATGTACATCAGACAGTCTCTATAAATATACCTCTACACACTGTATACGCATAAGCGCTCGTATTTTAGCACTGTGGTTTACAGCACGGCAGTTGTGAAAGGAAGTGTTGGTTGAATTAGCATGAGGCAGTTTGCCTCAGTTTAATGTAATAATCCTTTCCACATTTGACAGCTTACCCTTCTGTAGTGACATAAGAAACATAATTTTTTTTAGAAGGTACTACTATGTATTTCTCATAAAACATTTTCTGGCTCGAATGCAATCATCAATGTCTCTTATGTATAATGACAACTAAATGAGAGATATACACAAAGGTTAGAGGTGCTTAGAGTGAAGACAAAGTATTCATTCATGGCCACAGTGTAATGAACGTGCAGTGCTTTAGGTGGTTAAGCTGTAATGACACACAAAGGCTTCAGCAGCAGTGCAAAAGATGACAGCGACATTGTGAATGCACAGCTCTTCCCGCTGTCTCAAACAGCAGTCGTCACGGTCTTTTGCACAAGCAAATTCCTCCCATTTGGAGCCGCTGCTCCCAAACTCAAATGAACTGGGAGTTTCCCAGAATGTTTCCTTTTTTTCCCCCTGTGAACTCCACAGCTTTACTACACCGCCTACTCGCTTTCACTGCTGGCAAATACAACAGTGGGTGGGTGTGTGGACAAAGTGGAAATGCCTGCTCATGACATCCACAACTTTGTGGCTTGGAGGGAAAACTCCAAAAAAATCACACTGAACACGAAATGTGCAGACAAACGATAAAAAGATATTTAGACACTTTCACTGACAGCTTTGTGTCGTACCAAAGAATTTATTAAGAATTTAGTGAGATGACAGTGTGGTCACTTTCCACATGAGAGGTGTTAAATTGAGAAGACTTGCGATCTGGTGCTCTTCAATTAAATCTCAAAGTACATGTACTTGGTTGAGACATGTTTTTACCAACTTAGAAGAAGATTCGAGGCCAGTTTTGTCTTTCAGTAACATTGATGATTATATAATCTATGAAAATCTCACCTTGACTGCAGTAAAACTGTGGCACAGCTCCAGACTAATTCTGCTGACAGGTTTCTGTCTGAGACTAAAGGCACATCACAGAATCAGGTTACCTCGACTTTAACTTCTCTACATTGTTGCTGTGTTGGTTTCAGAATTGATGTTATGAGGATAGGGTTATAGGATGTATTTTTAAACCTGGACCAGGTCTAAGCCACATCAGTTGTTTCATCACTTTATGAGCTGCAGTGCAGCGTCGTCCTTGAACACTGTCTTGTAATGTGTAAATACAGTCTAAATACACAGTTCGTTCAAATCAATTCAAATGTGCAAATTACACTCTAGAAGTGTTTTGCTGTGCCTCTGCTGGCACTGAGGGATCACGCTAACGTTGCGGCAGTAGCAAACAGCGTGACCTTAATTCACGATGTTTCTAACTACGGTGTCAAACCTGAAATTCCTCCTCAAATTACTTCTCAGCTGGTTTGGTGCCACTGTTCCAGTGAAAAAAGCTCTCTGGTCTTCTCTAGTTTACTTCTTTTTGCGTTGGTAAAATGTTCAACAGTTAGATGGATAGTGTATTTTATGGATGCCTCTCGCTTAAGGCTGCCTAATTAATCGAAATTTGATCATGATTATGATTTTGGGGCCAAACGATCTCAAACCTAA